GGCTTTGCTGGTGTTGCGTGATTTGCCGAAGGTGACCCTCTGGGCGGGTGTAGGAATTCACATCGTGTCGTGCAGATGTTCATCTGAGAGGGGGAAGGGTCAATGTAGGGGCTGCGTTTGCATGCAAAGGGGTGGTCCAGGTCGTTGTTCACAGTTGTGTAAGTGCAACCTTGCATGCCTTGAGGAACAAAGCACCTTACCCAGGGTGCAGCGAGGGTCTACACCTGAGGAAGTACTGCCCGACGATGATGATAGTGGCAGCGAGTCCGAGTCTGATGATGATGATGATTCGCCGATTGTCGAATGTTTGGGTGGTTTCGAGAAAGAAGGGCATTCGTCGTTTGGGGTGGACACCGGTGTGTGTGGATTCTCCGAAGAGGATGCGCGAGAGTACGAGGAACAACTCGCCAACGAGGGGTCGGGCGGGGGTACGCAGCAGCGGGTGGTGTTGTCGACTGATAATATGGCACCGCCGAGTAACGAGATGTCCGTTTGATAATTGATGATATTTCGTTGTATTTCTTGCTACAAATATGTTATCAACAGGACGCGGATCCCGAAGCACAGCAAACAAATATTTGGGGCTGTTCTTCACATGACACCACCCGCTACAACTGCTTTTGGTAGTACACACTAAACTAACATAGGCACACACGCTCCGATGCCGCGGCCAGCGCGGCGTGCGCCTCATGTCACATCACAAAGGGAAGCTGCCGAAGACTCAGTGAGAAACACCGGCACAAAAACGAGAGAGTCCTCGCCACCAAATAACAGCACTGACCCCCATATACTCGAGTCGGCTACGTGTTGCCGGTAAATCGCAATCACAGTAGTACATTTCCCTCATGCCTAGCGCACTCATGAATTGCTCGTGCGCATTACCGTTCAATGTCGGGACATCGGCTTGTGGGGTCTACCGCAAGGGGCGCGCCCTCTGACACCTAAGGTCAGCGGTCGGACTGACCTGAAGCCTGAGCGTAACATAGAAAAAAACGGGTCCATGCGCGATTTCGTCCTCCCGGACTCTCAACAACCCATGCTAACTAGGAACAAATAAAAGCTTCGTGCTGTCACTACTACTATATCCACTACCAGGAGGGTACCACACACCCCAAAATTCGCCCACCCTTACGTGGGCAGGTTGGTACCGGGCCCTGCTCATCATCATGCATAGAGCCGGGGGGTTCGCCTGAAGCCAACCTGCTCGGTCGGCACAGGGTTTCAGAAACGACAGCGGCAATTTCAGCGCGACGCCTTTCTTCGCCACCGGCAACGCCGCCTTGACAAAGGCCAGCGCACCATTGTACGGGGGCCTCGTCACGACCCAGTCAGGTTGTTGCTCGTGGTGTGCTGCCAGGAAATCGTCCGTAAATGACGCCGAGCTCGCGTCCAGGTTCGTGTCCGGAGGCAACCTTGAAAAAAAAAACAGGTAAATAAACAGGAGGGATGCAAAGGGCGTCAGGACATAGGACAACACTGACGCACATACACACGTGCTTTTCCCCTTGTTTCCTAGGAATAAAACTTGCTCTGGAAGGATAGAACAACACCAAGGCGTTTGGACCACACCAAAGAAAAAAAAAAGGCCGCCGTCACTGTCGGTCACCCGTAGACTACGAATTCCCCCCATATGCTTTGGCCTCAATGGGATACAGTCAAGCTTGGGTTGCTCCATATGCGTGCACCGCAAGTTACATCTGTGCCTGGCAAAAACTCGGTTTGCGGCATTTCGAATCCACATGTAACGTATCTGCGAAACTTCAACGATAAAAAAGGGTACATGCAAACAAAGAGCGGACTCATTTACTGCAGGTCCGCTGGTGCGAGCCTATCTACGACGTGGACCTGCACGAAACAAGGAACCGTAAGCTTGGAGCAGATTGCACAATTAGGTCCGTTGAATGTAACTCAGCATCCTTCAAAACAGATTGATACTATGCATACTGCTGTCAATTCGCCTAGCCGGCTCGACGTTGACAGGCACATGTACAACGGCGTCGTCCACACCAAGAGGCAAACAGCGTTGATAATGCGCCTACGAGTGGCCTCATTTCGTGCTGGGGAGTTCAAGGGAATGTTACGCTAGAATACCCAGCGCTATGGAAAGAGCAGGAAGGGTGTCTATCTACTTCTCACCGCAAGCACACAAAAAAAAAGCGCGTCATCCCCTCACCTCGGTCGCACATCGTTCGTGAGTACTTGGCACGTGTCTCGAAGACGAATCGCTACATCATCATCCGTCCCCCCGCACATGTTCAGCACACACCCGCTGATGCTAACAACACCCAGCAAAGCCTCCAACGCCGCGGACGAAGTGCAGTAGCGATCAAAACACCGGCGCTTCAGCTGCTTGACAGGTTCGGGAGCGCACGTCCACTTCGGCCCTCGCTTTGCTCGGCGTTCGGTAGGCGCCCTGCTCTCCCTTTGCTGGTTCAGTACGAACAGCTCCAACAGGCAACCCGCACGTTTACATAGGACGAGCTTGCCTATGCTTGGATCGCCGCACTTCAAGCCGGGGAACTTGTCTCCCATGCCGGCTGCCTCCAGGAAAGCCCTGCCGTTGGTTGCTGGCATGCGCTGCAGCATTCCTCCGACATCACCCTGTCGACCAAAGAGACGGAAGCAACATTCTACGTGTATATTTGGGAGCTTCATGTGGGGGAAAGTGAAGCAAGGGCACGCACACAGCATCCTGTTGCTTTCATGGCTAAACCAGCAGTACAAGAGAGGCACGGGGGCCTCTTTAACCTGCTGTACTGGATAAAACTGGATAGCAGCGGTGCAACCCAACCCGCGTTCTGGCAAGTTCCGCCGCGTTTTTGGAGGCACATCTGCTACACCGATTTCGCGCGCTGTAGTTCTGATCCCAAATAGTGCACATCTTTCATTCAATCTACATGGACCCGGTCAGCTGCCAGTTCAATCGCTGCTGCAGAGCACGTTTTGATGGTAACCACATTGGCTGAGAGTTGCCTGGCAAACCCGGTGTCACCGTGGTCCGAAACTTTCCTCTTGTGCCCTCAAGTCATATTCCCCTTTCTTTCCCCACCTTGCCGACATTCAAAAAACCAATGAACCTTTCACCGGTGTATTACACAACTTGATCGAAGTTCCCGCCAAGTTTCGTGCCGATCCGAGGTGTTGGTGTGGAGCCCTGGGCTGGTGAAAAGGTGGTAACAGTGGTGACCCTGGGGGCGCCAACGCGGGGGGATATTGTACGCTTTCCCCGCTGAAACCCGCGGCGTTTTTTTTTGTCTGTACTTATTTTTTGCTTTCCTACAGTTCCAACGATTGTCCCGCCGATTTTAGTTGACCGGCCATAACTTCATCAATATTAACATTTTATTTTTTTTTAGTGTTTATCTCCGTCGCAAATGCCACAATAGTTGTTCGGGGACCAAATCGATTTGAGACGTTCCTGAGAATTCGTGGTTTTCGTATAGTTTTTTCCAGGCGTTTTTTGGGAGGAGGGGATGAAACGTTTCGGCCAGTATCTCGCCAAACGCTGTCATAATC